TAAGTAGTAAATGTAGCAGGTTTTCAATTTTCTTTAGCCCGTTTCAATTTAATATGACATATAAAAAAGATTATATGCGCTGTTAGCACAGGGCAAAGTAGTATTACGTAAATAAAAAAAAAAATAATCAATTTCTTTAAATTTTATTCATTGATTGCTACACATCTATTAAAACACCATAATGGCCGACATCATTAACAATGCGACAACAATTGAAAAAGAATGATGGCCGACAACTGCAACAATTAGAAAAGAATGATGGCCGACACTACGTCATAGTAGAACATTAAAAACGGCCGGGGTCAGGGGGAAGAACTACTTATTAATAGAAAATATATCTGGAAAAGTATTTTAAATAAAATACAAAATGCTTATCTCAAAAAAGTATTTAAATGTGAAATATAAAAGGATATTTTGTATTTTCTTTTACATTTCAAATGCAAGTACATAAGTTAAAGTATACGCTATCAAAAAATGGATGCTTTTGCGTACCTATTGTTTTTTCTCTTTTTTTTAAAAGTAGTAAAATTCCAAAGAATTAAAAAACGCCGTGTTGATATAAAAATAAAGTTTTGCTTTATTGTGCATCGATCCTCCCAAAAAAAATCCTAGTATGACGTTTAAACTACTGAAATTGCTTCCCTTAACTTTTGAGAAATAAAAAAGAATACCAATGAATTGATTTTAACTTTTGGTAGATATTTACCCTTTTTTATTAAAAAACAGTCATCGTATGTATTATATCAAATTCAAATTACATTTCTTGATAGTTAATCAGCAGAATAATAATTATTTGGAAAGTTTTGCACAGATTCCACAATTTTTAAAAATTCAATGTCTTCAAAATTTTCATGAATGGAACGTTTCCTTTTGCCAGCAGTTGTTATCATCGTTGCAGGCATGTAAGAGTAATATTGATTTTTATATTTTAGTGCGTGAATTATTTTCTAAAAAATGAAAACATTATTTATGAACTAGATTTTAAATAGGTTTTGCTGTTGGAGCACTTACTAAAACTAGCTTTATAAGAAACACTGCGAAAGTCAAAAATCCAATAGTTAACATAGCTGCTTCGTTAGAAGGAAAATCCAGATAGGAATCGTCCTTGTAGCCACGAAGATTATTATTATTTGAGGATGGCCACATTTCAGAAATACGATTTTCTACAAAATATTTCTTAATTTCCAATGCATAACATCAATTGTAAAGTAATAAATAATGTGTGTCAATTTTTTTGTATCAATTAGCCAAATATTTTATGGGTATTTATTATATTACTTACGAATTTGCAAAAATAATCTATTTTTCAAATTTATGAGTACATTCAATTTGTTTTTAAAGTCTTTGTGTGGTTTTCTTAAAAGATCCTCTTGTACGTCCTGCAGAATAGACAAAAACGCGTTTGAAAGATTCGTATTTTCTTCGCCATTTCTTCTAAGAATCTCTTGCTTTTTTATAGATCCTTTGTTAATATGAGATATCCTTGTCTTTCCTGTATGAAGAGATTCATTCACAAAGTCGAAATGAGAACTTGTGGTTGGAGCTTTTGTAATAGATATATTATTATAACTTTCTGGAAACCGTAATACTGATAATGTATGAAGCACTTTTAATAAATATATTTTGTTTATTCTTTTACCTTGAGTGCCTTCTGTAGTACTATAATGTGGTTTATTTTGAACAGATATTTCAACCCACTCAGAATGCAAGGGTAAGATAAAAATTAGAAATGAAACTAAAGCAAGACATTGTTTATTGCAACACATCATGATAAATAATCGTGCAGGTTTTGTCACATCCGAGTTTCCACAAAGTCTTAGTAAGGATAGTTAGAGCGGAAAATTGGATAAAGGAACTAACAGTTTCTTAATGCTTTATGTTACAGAGATTTAACATAGGTAACAGGATAAAAACAAAGCCTAATTTTGTACATAATTACTGTAGCAGTAGAATTATTCAGTATGTTAAATTCCAACGAACACAAAGTACAGTAACTGTGGTTTTTTTCTATATGAATATGTATATGATTACAATAATAAATTAATAAAACTTATTAAAATTGCTTTTATTGGTCTTCCCTCAATCCCTAGTTTANAATTTTATCAAAATAATTACCGCATTACGTATTTATATTATGGTAATCTCCTCTTTTGAATTATGTGAAGCATAATTTGATGATTACATCTATAGCCTGGTAATAAATTCAATTTGCAGGCAAAAGAGGTAGAAGCTTGGAAAACATCTGCCCTGTTGGAGACCCCTTAAGAATAAGTGATTCTATCAGACCATTTTTGTGCGGAAACGACCCTGGCAAACCCACCTGCCCACCAATGTACCAGTGTCTGGTGCAATCAGGTATTTATTAAACACCATTCGTTCTTTTCTTCTTTGAACAACAAACGCACTCCGGGAGGTCAAAATTAATCAACGTGAATTACAACATTGAAATCAAATTCATGTAATTCATTTCAAATTTATATAATTTAATTCCTTGCTTTTATGATTCAATTTAGATAAGTGATAAAATTACTTTAGAAATACTTAAAAAATAGTTTTTCGTAAAGGAAATGATTATGGCGTTTGCTGTCCCGCCTCCCTCAGTCTTAAAAAACCTGGAACATGTCCTGGTACAGCTGACACAATGGTGGAATGTGGGTCCACATGTACCCATGACCTGGAATGCCCTTCCGTACAGAAATGCTGTAATACTGACCAGTGTGGACGTTCCTGTTCGCATCCCCAAAATATTACAGGTGCCACACTTTATTTGGACTATTATTAAGTTTTTACCATTTGGTCAAAACCTTTAAAAGTCTGACAAAACTTTGAAAGATAATTTAAAAAGCTAATAATTGTTTCGGTTATTCGGCCAAGGAGTATGAGTCTTGTAAGTCGAATGTTTTTTTTGACTTTCCCAGCATTTATCCAAATGGTAAAAAGTTCTATTCTTACGTATGAAGTCGATCAATTTTCGTAGATAATAAATCATTCTTCCAATTAAGCATATCGATTGAAGCGTTTCTTTAACTGATTTAGAATGTATCCATCAACGTATGTTGTCCGAATTGCTGTCTGTGAGTGAAAGAGAAGGTCGTGGTTACATTCCTCAGTGCTCCGAAGATGGTCAGTTCAAAGAAAAACAGTGTAGCCGAAATGGATTGGTATGCTGGTGTGTGGACCGAATGGGACGAAAGTTAAAAGGTTCAATGGGTCCGGCCGGCAATGTAAACTGCAGCCTAGTAGGCGGTAAGAAAAAATCTCTTTAATCATACGCACTGGTTTGGTAGCAATCATCTTTTTAAACCCATTAATGTCCTTATTCTTTGTTTTGTTGTATTTATAATCTCAAATGTCTATCATTGTTTTTAATAAATCGTAACACATTATTGTTGGTTCGTTTTTTTCACCGCATGGGGGTTACGCAGACATTAGTAAAGCAATTCACAATTCCTTTCTGATTCTTGCAATCTACAAACAATGTTTACAGCAAGGGCTTTAAGTTCTGGCCGAAGTCTTCAAGATGCAAACAGATGCGAATCATTGGATTGTGCGGCCATTTGCGAATATGGATTTAAACTGGACAAAGATGGCTGTCCAACGTGTAAATGTGATGATCCCTGTCACGGGTACATTTGTCCCGAAGACGAAGAATGTATTGCGGTGAAAGAAGCCAATTGTATGGAATTTTTGTGTCCTTCATTGCCAGTTTGTAAGTATCGTTATTCGTTAACAAAAAATAAAAGAAACGATAGTTTAATTTGCTTGCGAAGCCCGTAATTTACTTTACTGTCCTTTAAAAATAACATAACATAATCATATCATTACTTGAGATCGATCGATTTGATCAGTTTTGTATTTTTGGTCATACATCTAAAAGCTTGTGTTTTAAAATTCAAAAAAATAATCGTTCAGATCGATGAATCTGCTATTCCACCCTTAAATTTTGACCCCATTTTCTACCGCCCTTGCATTTCGAATATAAATGCGGGAATGCGGTTTTTAATTCTCAATTAAAAAAGATGAATAATAGGCGTGAAAGACAGATTATACAAGTCCCACAATAGTGGCTCTTTTTTATCGGAATCGTAAAAATTATTCGCCAAATAAAGCAATCCATCGTGATCGTCTGATTGAGCGTGTTTACGAGTAAATAAATTCGACGTGTCGCAAGTACGCAATTGTTTCAGAATTCATGTAATGTCAGGACGTGTCGTCGCATTTATTACGTTCAATATCGTCCTTGATTGAAATTCACAAAAAAGGTAAGGAATTCAGCTCTTTGTTTTACGAACAGGTCGTCCGAAAACAATTTACGCTAATCCATGCAGTTTGGGAACTCCTTTAACCGATGATATAACAGGCGCGCCTATTGCCTGTGCCCTAAGATCTGACGAAATAGGAACTGTATGTCCTTTAAATTACGAATGCATCTCTGTGCCCGGATCTACACAATCCGTTTGCTGTCCTACCGAAAATTACACCGAAACCAGTACGTTTTGATTTATTTCTATCGACGACTTACGTTGATTATATTTATCAAAACTTTTTACAGATGATACATCAGCAGTTGACAGTCCAAGAAGTCAAACCAGTACGTTATTTTATTAACATTTAATGAACTTTTTGCTAAATTATGGCCTCTTTTAGTGTGCGAATATTTACATAATTTTGGTGAAAACATGGAAGGCACTAGGGATGGAATGGCCTTGGCTCTACCCCAACCCCAATGTGATTCCGATGGGAGCTATTTACCAACTCAATGCTCTAAAGGAAGCTGCTGGTGTGTTGACTTCTTTGGTACAAAAATTCCAAAAACAGAAGGAAAAGGAAACGCTACTGAAGATTGTAAAAGTCTTAGAGAAACTTTAGAATGTTTAGGGTTGACGTGTAGAATGGGATGCGAGTACGGTTTTGTCCTAGATGAAGAAACCAGGTGTCCATCATGTCAATGCAAAGACCCCTGTTCAGACATTAAATGTGGTCCAAGTGAGGAATGTCAATTGGTAGAAGTCAGTTGTACAGATCACTATTGCCCTCCAGTACCAGCATGTAAGACCTTCAAAAGTACTAATTTTCATTATATATATGTTATTTCAACTTTTGGTTGTAGGTTTGCCTAAAAAGAATGGTCAATGTCCTTATCTAATTCCTGCTACATCAACATCATGCGATTTCGAGTGTACTTCTGATCTTTCTTGCGATGGAACGCAAAGATGTTGTTCCAATGGTTGTGGAACTCAGTGCGTGGAACCTCTCTTATTGACAGGTATGGTACAACGACAACTAATCAAATCTACACAAATCAAATACCATAATCTTCAATTCGTTCAGGTTGCCAACACGAGCGTCATTTACTTCAACATCAAGCTAACGAAGCAGGCAAACCTGCTGGTCAAGTTTATATTCCCACTTGTGCGGATGATGGAAATTACGCTTCTAAACAATGCGATTACGGTAAACAACAATGCTGGTGTGTGGACTTCCGTGGGTTCGAAGTCTCAAAAACTCGAAGATCAATATCAGAACCTTTGGACTGCGACAATTTGCCAGAAGAAGTCTATACATGTCCAATGAGAAAGTGTGTACAAGACTGTGTTCATGGATACGAAATGGATGAAAATGGTTGTAGAAGTTGTACATGTAAAGATCCATGTTCGAAGATTTCGTGTCGTGGAGAAGGAGAAATCTGCAGATTAGTTGATGTAGAGTGTACTACTTGGCCCTGTCCTCCAATGGCTATGTGTCTGCCCAAAAAGGAAAATCCATGTCACAACGGAGAACCTTTGAAACTTGGAAATTCCAATGAACTAGCGACATGTGGTCCAGAGTACGAAGGATGTCCTTCAACGCACAAATGCCAATTGAGTCCTTTAGGCGAATATGCTGTCTGCTGTCCTAAACCACGTATGTATATAATCATTTTTCCCTTTTCTAAATGATATCCGAAAAGAGACTTACCCACTTCTAATGTGGTCATCATCAGTACGTCTCGTGATAACTAGGGTTTAGACTATTTCCTCCTTTATCGTAGTCACCATTTTCTACTTTGATATTTTTAACTGTTGTTTATTTTAGGAGATGTCTGTTTTGAACCTATGGAGACTGGTTCATGTTCTGATCCTGAATCATTTAGAAACCTGACAAGATTCTATTTCAACTCTCGCAAAAATAAATGTGAACCATTTTCATACAGCGGCTGTCGTGGAAACCACAACAATTTCCATTCGGAAGAAACGTGCAATTTGGTTTGCCCAGGTAGTTCCTGTTATTACGATGAATTACCAATTACTTAATGCAGGGTTTTCTTACAGTTTTAAGTCAGTGTGAACGTTTGAAAGCCAAGAACCAGAAATCTGCGGAACGTTACAAGAAGCCAACGTTTACTCCAAGATGTGATCAAGACACAGGAAGTTGGCAACCTGTACAGTGTTTAGAGCATGTTGGAGTTTGTTGGTGTGTGACTCCACATGGTGAACCTCTAAAGGGCACATTGACAAGAGGATCCGAGCCTGAATGCAACTTTAGGCAAGCTAGAGGTCGTGGAAAGAACAAGGCGCAAGCAGAAGAAGTTGAAGTTGGTAAGTACCATATACTGATGTTCCAGCAATGATTTTATTATCACCTTGTTAGCTATAGAAAAAAGGTCCAAATTTGGATAAAATGATTTAAAGCTTTCTTGATCTTGATCCTGGTCCTTTGTTTGTTCCAGTTTTGGAGGAATTAATGATGCAACTCGGTTCTATAGATTATGACGAAGAAGAAGACGATATGAGAGTTCACAGTACAGAATCTGCTATTGTTCGTACGTCATCTGAAGACGTTATGGACTCTTCTTTAACAAGATGTCAAGCTCTGAAAGCTCAGTGTGACGAAGACGGCAAATTCCTACCAACTCAATGTGAAAAAGGAGTTTGCTGGTGTGTGGATGAAGCTGGAAGGCAACTTCAAGGAAGCGGAGTTTTCTACAAAGACGAACGTAATTGTAGTAAGTACCTAACGAATATAATTAGCTATTTTTAATACTTCATTACTAAGGTGGTTAATGGAAACAATTTCTCATATGGCAGTCATAGGGGATATCGAATAAAAACTTGCTAAAGTGCGAATTTTAAAATTTAATTAAACGTAATATAATCAGTACCTACATCATATAATAAACAAATATTTTATTAAATTTGAAATAAATTTAATTTAAAATGATTAAAATAAATAATTTAACGGTATATATGAAATAATTAAATAATATATTAAATACTTGAGGATACGTAAAAAAATGTTAAGGAATTTGTAACCATAAGGGCAAGTAAAAAGGTCACCCGCCTCACCACTTTCACTCACTTCTAAAGATTGATTATTCTAATTGAATCTGAATACCTTGTTTGTATTATTCTTGCTATTTAAACTATCGCTTATTGACCTATTAATCGAGTGGTAGGTGTTAACTTGCAATTTTAAAAAGATAATTTTGATGTATGTACTAATTAAACAGGAATTTATAGATACTATGTAACACTTATCTATACATGTAACAATCTTTTACAGAATTCACGCCAGTAGAAGAAGTTGAAGTAATCCTAGGGTTGAGAGGAAACCACGACGAAGTTAGTGCAATTCCAATTGTTAACAGAATCCAGAAGATAGTGGTGTCCCTTAACGGAACGATAAAGGGTGAAGACGTTAGAGCAGATCCTGATTCTGATGTTTTATACATCAAATTCTCCCTTATTGGAAACAATAAAGTCGACGTTGCCTACAAACTAGAAGAACTGGTAAGCAATTCCTTATTTTCTTTTTTTTTTGGAAAATTTATTTCCAATTTTTTATCGGCTTTTTCTTTTTTGATAAAATACACACGTCTATTAATTATTATTATATTTCTCTTTTCAGGTGAGGCAAAAGAAATTGTCAGAACTAACAGCCGATTTCACCCTCTCCAGTTTCATTAACCAACTTGGCTATGCTCCAGCACCCATTGTGGAAGAAAGAATAGTGGCTCTAGAAAATAGGGAAATCGTTTCCCAATCACCGGTATCAGTTACTGCACCTTACCACACAGCGCTAATCGTGGTAGCTGCTGGATCAGCATTTGTAATCTCTGTTCTAGTCGTACTGATCATCCTCTACAGAAGAAAGGTAAGACACGTTTTTAAGATCCAACTTTTCGAAAGTTTTATAATTTCTCATAGCTAATATTGTAGTATCTGGTGATATTCGTAGTATTTCTAATATGTTTGATAAAACCTTACAAAATACGTGACAAACTGAGTTTACGACACAATTTATATATGTATAGGTACAATACAACCAAATTCATAAAAAGACATTAAGTTCTTGGTTATTAATTTTGTGGATGCTAACAAACATGGGCCACGAATTGGTGTCTATTAGACCTCATCAGCACACCGCAGGTAGTTTCGACAGATTGAATAAATAAACTACGTACTAGATTCAGTTTTTCAAGTACTTAGATACCTTTGAAAAGTTTTCTCAAGTATTATAAATACTATTGTTACAGCAAATATCACTAACAGACGATGTACTGCCTGTTACTTGGGCTTATGAGGACTAATAATTAATTACTTACTTAATGTTGTTTATTTCCTTATACGATGTATTTCTTTTAAGTTTAATTCAGGTGCGGGGGTGCAATTTATTTTCATTTTTCGTTTACCGTGATGTAAAACAATTAAAATTGTCTGGTTTTATTTTTAGTTTTTTTTGTTTAAATTGATTTATTAAATTTCGCAGATGGCGAGCTTAAAAAATAAAGTAATTAAATCAGAGGAGGGTAACCAGAGATTTTTATCGCCCAAACCATTTTATGTTGAATTACCCAACGAAAAGTCTCCAGCTCCAGTGAGGACGTCACCAACGTCCGAAACGACGTAATTCTGAATAAGTATATTCATTTTATTTATCTATTTATTAGAAGTTTGAAATCATTAAATTAGATACCTACGCCAGTTACAGTGTAATAGACGAAATCAAAATTCAGTAAGGTTTTTAAATTATTAGACAAATTTTTATTTTCCTTTTTCTATGAACTTTTGAACTTCTACTTGATAGATTGTACTATTAGCATTTAAGAATAATATTAAGTTATTTATATAAAATAATATGGAGTTTTTAATGTACAGTTATTTGCCATTTCGTTGTATTTAAATTGCACGCTTGCATACGTGCAAAGACGACATTAATGACTTTAATCGTTTACCTGAAATACCTTTAACGTTACGTAAATAAATATACGTATGTGTATGTATTGAAATTAAATAAGTTATTATACAAT